ATGATATATATATATATACACACACATATATATAGTTGCACTGTTATAAGGGTTTCTCAGAGAATCATTTACAGAGCTAATTTGACATGCTGGCCGCCTCCAAACCCTAGTTTAACATTTGAAGTCCGATGGAGGTGGACAGAATGCCAAAATGCCTCTGCAACACGGCTTCTGAGAAGCCATTGAAAGAGAGAGAGAGAGAGAGAGAGTGAGGTTGTTTGGTTGTGTGTGTTTGAGAGAGAGTGAGGTTGTTTGGTTGTGAGTGTTTGATGAGTTGGTGAGTTTATGTGGTGAAATGGAGCTTGCATGGTGTGGTTTACTGTATTTGGCTTTGTAGGGAGGATAAGCTGAAGGGTATTTGTTGGGGATGGGTTTGTGGTGTGTGTCTTTATACCTTCTTTTTTACATGTCTTTTTGACTTGTTACAAAATAATGATGCAGAATGGGCTGCACTTGTCCCCCACTCAATCTGTGAAAGTTCATTGTCAACTGCTTCTCCATACTCTCTTTCTCATCTTAACTTTTTTTACTTTCTTGGTATCAAGTGCCCTTTTTACTCAACTTCTTGTTCAACCATTAGTGGAAGACGTGAAATAGGGGGTTGAATCTTAAGAGCTCGGTTAAAATTTATTTATTTATTGGAAAATGCTTTCTCTACTGTACGAGAAGAGTCGAATTCATGCACCAAAAGGGGTCTATGCCTTTGGATGCATGCAGTGGGATCTCTAATCTACGAGAAGAACCGAATTCATACACCCAAGCACATCTTGATGCATGCAGTGGGACCCAATGTCTCCTGCTTCTCTAATCTATGAGATGAATCGAATTCATGCACCCAAGGCCGGGCTCTATGCTTTTAGATGCATGGAAGGGTTGAGTCCCGCTTCTCCAATCTATAAGAAGAACCAAATTCATACATCGAAGGGCTCTCGGCCCTCATATGCAAGCATCTAAGGGCTACACCTACAACTCCCGAGTAGCACCACTCTTATTTATTGACAAAATGGTATTTGGCCCTAAAATCCCCTCTGAAGTAAAATCCGAATTCTTGTGAGCAAAATTCTGTCTAAGCGGCCACTTGTGCTTCCAACTAAACTAGAAACCATTTCATTTAGCTTCAAGGATGAAAAAGCGAATGGAAAAAGCTGGGAAAGATGGATGATTGTTTGATTGAGCGAAAGAAAATAGAAAAAGGTGACACCATCAACTTTTGATATGACACGAAACAAAAACAATGTTTGTGATTTGGAGTATGTTCAGTACTATCCAGAAGCATCTTTTGTAACTTATATTTGTTGCAAGATTCTTGAAAACAAAAACATGAAAACATATTTGGTAAAAAAATATTGCATGTTTGAAAAATAAAATGGTTAGTTCAAAAAATCATTTTAGAGTTTTTTTTGTTTTTGAGTACGGTACTAATCAACTCGCAACAAACACACTTCGTACTTTTACTTTGCTATATCGTGCCCAGAGTACAAAATGCTAAGCACATTCGGTTGCCAACAACGCCCTTAGTTAATTTTGCAAAAACTTGACTATAGGTAATAATGTCATTGTATGTCCTGTAGTGGTAGAAATTGCGTCATAAACATTTTCCTTCATACAATGAAAACTAAATTCAATAGAGTTTTTTACACAATTGATAAAATTCTTTCCTAATCATTTTGGAAATGCAAAAGTCAAAACGTAAAGAAAACAATAATTATTTTAGAAACTTAAAAGTTAAGAATGAAATGTTTCTTACCTTCAATTAGAATTAAATTTTTTTGATTTTTTAGGTTCCAATACCTTTTAGTATAAGGTACTTTACTTGGTCATTACCGTAGTAATAAAAGGATTGCTTCAAAATATTATGAACGTGACAAATTTTTTTTTTTTTTTTATTACAATTTTTTAAAAAATGATCTTTGCAACCAAGAGCCCAGGCCTAGATGTTTGAAAACTTTATGAACCTCAAATTTCTGATTATCCTTTAACTGGAGCTGTGATGATGAACTTCAGCTTTGCTAGTACAAATTTTGTAGATCCTTCATTGTTATACACTGCATTAGTAAAATTTATGGAAAAAGCAAAAGTTATGAATTTCAGCATAATTACCAATGAATTCTTATTTGCAGTTTGCTTGTAAAGTACTTAAAATTCTAGAGGTCATAAAACTTTTAAATTAAGAAAGTTCTAAAATTTCAAACTCATCTCAGTTTCAAATGCAAAAACGAACACATATTCTAGGTCACAAAAATCAAAAAGGAAGGTTAGCCTGAGGACATTAGGAGAAAATCATATAAAGGAGTTGAATCCTAAAAGGAATAAAATCAAAATCATTCACATTTGTGGAACCCAATTATATAGTCAAATATTGTTTAAATTTGGATGTCTCACATTTCAAAGTCCAAATGATAAGAACATGAAGCATAAGGGGCTGTTTGGCATCTACTTTGTTTTTTTTCAGGCCCGCTACAGTAACCCAAATGAAGCCCAAAATATGTTTGATTGGTTTTGTTTTGTTTTGCACAGTTATAAAGTATTTCAATAAAGAGGCCCAAAACTAAAAACACCATTTTGGTGTTTTATCTTGTTTCAGTACTATTTGGACAAATTTTCACTGTAGCGGAGGAAGTAGCCGGCCCAACTTGTTTCAGGTATATAAACATTTTAGGTCATTTTTGGGCAAATTTTCTCTCTCCTCTCTCGATACTCTCTCTCTACGATTCAAGGGCGATATCAAATACAACACCGAAGCTAGATTTTCATCACCACCGATCCAAGCCTAACTAAATTGAAAAAGATATAAGGTAGAAAAATCGAAGTGAAGAGTGAGAGACCTCAGAGAGGGCCAAACGGAGAGAAGCGAAGGGAGTGGTGAAGCTCTCGGCAATCGCCACGGAGTCCCTCTCAACCACGTTGAGCGCTCCCATAATCTCTTTCTGACCAAATTTCGAGGGTTTTGATGCACCAACTCCATTATCTTCTTGATCTTCCTGAGAATTCTGGTGACGCATTGTTGATTGCTGATTCGTTTCGGTATCTAAAATTAGGGTTTCTGAGGAGATTGTTGTTGTCGTTTGAGCTTTGTGTGCGCTTCCTTCTTGTGCATCCATTTTCAGGTGGTTCTTCGAAGGTCACACCAGTTGGCTACGAATTTGATCGTGAATCTGTGACCAATTAATGTTTGGGCAAGTTTTCAGTCCGAGCCCTTAACTGGATTTTCATCACCACCGATACATGTAAATAATTTATTGCAAAAATTAATATATATATATATATATATATATTTGTGTGTGCCCAAACATGTTTTTCATGTTTTTATTTCCGACATTTTCACAACAAAGCATGGTTCCCAAACGTACTTTCGAATTTTTTCCAAAACACTCTATAACAAAAACACTATTTCTATTTTAGCCAAAAACAAAACGCATGCCAAATGAGCCCTAAATATCCATGTGGGATAATATTATACTGCAATGCAATTGCAGAAATGCAGTGATATACTGATGACCATAGTAATTTGCATACCCGAAAAAGAAAAGAGAAGAACACAAAATCATTTAGGAAGCTGCCTGAAAGACAATTCATAAGAAATTGAACATTGTAAGTCGACATCAAAAAGAGTTGAAAGAAAGCAGAGGCAGCCAAGGTCAGCTTGAATTTCATTCCATTTTTTCACAAAAAATGGCTAACAGATAGGAGGCAGAGAATGTCGTTGTTTGCAATGGCCTCAATGAGATGCCAATGCCCCCTTCTACATCGAAGGGTAAAGACTCCGTCCCCCCTCTACACGTTTAGAAACAACAATGACTAAGTTCATCAAAGAACTTCCAAAGCTGGCATGTCAATAAATAAGACCGGGAAGAGAATAAAAAGTAATGGAATGTCCTAACAGGGAGAAGTAAAGTATCGAAGTGCAAACATGTTGATATGTGAGGCAGGAATCATAAATTATACTGTAATTATGATTATAAATGATGAGGTGGGCTACAAGTTAAAAAGGGCAAATGCAAAAAAAAAAAAAAACCCTAATGAGATACACAAAAAGTAACAATTTGATTCCTTATACAGGATATAGATAGAACTCAAGAATGTTCGATATAAATTCATAATTATTGAAGAAAAGAAGTAAAAAAAGTTAATGCATACATTGGTTCAGATAGTAGCAAATGAGGAACAGGGATATAAAATATGCAATTCAAACCATTGAATGCTACAAGCGTTAAGTGCCGGATTTATCAACTCAACAAACTCAGAACAAAGAAGCAAAGTTAGATATTCAAATTTAATACCCTTTTAGATTTTATGACAGACACACAGCTAGATATCAAATTTTATGAGGTTATATGCACATAAAAAGTGGTTTTATTGCTCTGCTCGACCCCTGCTGAACTTGTCAGATAAATCGCTGCAGCTCCTTCTTGAGAAGGGAGTTGCTGCTTTATCTTAAGTTCAAGGAAATCAGCAAGCCTGAAGGAGGAAGAAGGAGGCAATAAAATGTTCGTCTCATCCACTTCACTCCTTTTGAGAAAGAAAATAGCTTTATGTATAGTTTAGCTATACAATGAACTTAAAATGCTACACATGCTTATAAAGTGCGGGTTCATCGAGATATGTTGAACACATATCCTATGACTACGAGTGCTTAACACATTTAGCATAGTCCAGCTAACATAGATCAAATACACTTAAGACTTCGCCACTTGAGGAAGAGCAATGAGCAAGAAATTAGCATAACACGAAGATACATATATACCATTATATTCTCAATTCTAAGGAGACAAATAAATTAAACCATATGCAATTCAAATAACAGAAATTCAGCTTGATCAATTCAATGAAAAAAAAAGGGACATGACTATGAGTGCTCAACACATTTAGCATAGTCCACCTAGCATAGTTCGAGTACACAAGTCTTCATCACTTGAGCAAGAAATTAGATAGGCATGAAAATGCAGATGTACCATTATATTCCCAATTCGAAGGAGAGAAACAATTTAAAGCACATTCAATTCAAAGAACACAAATTGAACTTGATCAAATTCAATGCAAAATGGTTCATACAAAATATCCATATGATCACTTTCAAACAATTACAGACAAGAAAACAAACCCATTTCGGTTAGCGAGGCGCTTTCTTCTTCCCGGCAATGGAGACCCTCTTTCCCTTCAAAGTCCGGCAATTGTTCTTCGTCCTCTGTCCTCTGCAAGGCAACCCCTGAATATGCCTTACTCCTCTGTAACACTGAATCTCTTTCAATCTCCTAATATTAAGTGCATTGAATCGCCTCTGAAACACCCAAAACCAAATCAAATTAAAGAGAGAAAATTGAATAAAATCACACATATATATAGAGAGAAAGTGTGTGTGATTACCAGGTCTCCTTCAATCGTGTACTTGGAGACTTCATCACGGAGAGAGATAAGTTCTTCTTCAGATAAATCCTTCATTATCTTGTTCTCCATTGGTAGGTCACAGAGGATTTGGCGAGCTCTGGTGCGGCCGATTCCATGGATGTACTGTAGAGAAAACTCCACTCGCTTGTTGTTCGGAATCTCCACTCCTCCAACACGCACGGATTTGATGCTCAAACCACGATACTGCAAACAACAAATTGAAGTGGTAATCAACCATTACACAAAACCCTAACCCCAGCCCTTGTTTGGTTTCCGAGAAAACTAGGGAAAACGAAACAAACCAAAAAATTAACCATTTTTTATTCTCAAATCAATGTTGTTATGCTCTGTTGTTTAGTTTTCCTAAAAAATTTTGCAGCAACCAAACAGATTTGATATGGAGGGAAATTGAAACTAAAAAAAATCAATGAAATTGTGTACTACTAATACCTTGGGAGGGGTTGAAGTGGGGAAAGAAAGTGAGTTAGAGAGAGAATTAGAGTATGTTGTGGTATTGCAGATGAGAGAGAGTGAGGGAGCAAGAGGTGTTGCCAGTGCTTGAGCCATTTTCTCTCTCTAGCTTCGGTTCCAGTGAAGAATTTTAGAGAGAGAGAGTGCGTGAAGATTATGGAAGGCAGAAAAGATTGAGATCGAAGGGCTGATAATTTCTTATCCTTTACTCTGTTAGAATATTTTGCAGACCCGCTGGAGTGGGTTACTGTGTGTACTCGCGCCTGGCAATGAACTTTGGATTAATCGGACCTGAACATGGTAAGGTTTGGTAGTTTGGCAATAGGAAGTGGACCTGACCCAATAATTATAATGTTTTAACAGACCAGACCCGTCAATAGGGTCCATTACCAAAGCCCACATTTAGAAATTGCAATATTCTAGTGACCACTCTCTCTTTTCTCTCCAATCTTCGTCCGTTTATAAAAGAGTGTCTTCTGTGAGTTACGTTTCTCAAAAAGACATTTTTTTTTTTAAAACGGAAGAGTAATACTTTCTAACAGTATTCTTAGGCATGTTTCGTCGTCTTTCTAACACGTGAGAAATTACACTCCATAGTCAGTAGTGTAGTGCCCTACAATATAATGTATAATAAATTTATTATCATACCATTTTTTTTTTCATAACTCTTGTCAAGGATGAAATTGATATTAATAATATTTATTTTTTTATTTTTTATTTTTTTGGGTAAATTGCACTGGCACTCCCCCCAAACTTAAGATAAAAACAGTCATATGCAACTTAGGTACTTTTTGGACGATAGCCTAATCACTTTTTTCATATCTAAGTTGCCCCTTAATAAAATGTTATATTTTGGATCAAAATATGTGCTTAACAAAATAACCAAAATACCATTCAATCAATATATATTTTTATCTCCTCCATCACCTCCTTATCTCTTTCCCTCTCCACCACAACCATCGCCGCCGCTGCGAAGTGATAAAAACAAAATAAAAAATGTTATTATATATGTTGACACCCATTTTGGTATTTGGACCGTGGGTGATGTTTGGGTTGTAGGCCCATTTTGGTATCTGGGTTGTGCAGGATATTTAGCTCATGGATTTATGATTAGACTGAAGGTGGTTTGGATTAGCAATTTAGTTGGGATGAAACTCATCAGTGTTATACATGGACATGGATTACAGGTAAAGGAACAATGACGTGGCAGATTTTACACAGAGTAAAACTACATGCAACATGCAAGGGCGCCATAGATCGAATAGAGTATTTTTGAACTTTAAATACCATCGATAAGAGTTATTTGTAATATCCTTTATTTGAATTTAGTTAAAAAGTAGTATTTATCTACTATTGTTATTTGAATAATTATTCAGTTGTATTATACAGTTATAATACAATTAAACTGCTTGAAAGAGGCATGTTGAGATTGAGGTCCAACACCCTCAGGATCCTTTAATTTATTTGTTTGTTTTCTCAAGCTTTTCTTAAAATAGCATCCTTGCTATTTTTTTCTCTCTCTTTTTCAGTATCTCGTTCTATCTCTTTCTTTTTCTTTCTTAATCTTTCTTTCTATATTTCTTTCTATATCTATTTCTCCCCCTTTCTATTATCTCAATTGTTACTGTAAATTATTCACGGAAAAGTTCTTGGCAATACTGAACTCAAAAGAGGAGTTTTTTTATTCTCTTTATCCTCGCATTATCTCGAAGTCAACCTTCCAAAAGAGATTAATGTTGACAAATCACATTCGAACCATATAATTGGCTCTGGCACGCCTGCACTATATATATATATTTATAAAAAATTGTTATGAATTGGCTCATTAAATCACTAACTGATAACAAACTTTTTTATTTATTTGGATGGTAAAGCAAACATACACACACTTTTTTACTCACGCCGGGACTCGAATTTCTTCCCTCTTTTTTGAAGATGAAGAGGTTATATTATTGAACTAGAGGCGCTTTGATAACTGATAACAACCTTGATTAACCTTTTAAAATGCCAGCATAGTCTTGTGAGACTATTGGTACCCAGGGCAACGCCAACGCCACCCATCGCCCTCGTCTTCCCCAGACTCTCCCTCCCTCTCTCTCCCTCTCTCTCTCGCTCTCTCCATATATATATATATATATATATATATATTTATTGTGAATATCATAGAATTAAATGTTAGTATACGTTGTCTGATAAAAACTAGTATTAAAAAAATAAAAAAATAATAAAAGAAAGAAGAAAGTGAAGCCCCTCCTAAGAGCCTTCATTAGTTTTAATCATTTTATTAAATATTTGGAGGCCACAGTATAGAATGGTCAAATTATATAAAAAAAACAAAATCATTCATAAAAAAGAGGATAAGGCAACAAAAGTAGACACTGTAACAAACAATTAATGGATGTTCCACTTTATTATGGAATCCAATTTCAATCAGACAAGTATTATTTAATTTTTAATTTTTTAGGATTATTTTGGTCAATTAATAGGAGGGTATAAAGGTAATTTAATAATTTACTTGGGTCAATTCAGAAATCAAAATGTAAGTACGTACTTTTATTATAGTTGCTACCTTTATCCAGTTTATCAAATGTGAGGGGTGTTATTGTCCAAAAAGTGCATAAATTGTAAATGACTCTCTTTAACCCAAACCTTAAGGCATCAGTGCAATTTAACACCTCTTTTGACGGTGCAATGTAACTCACTAATACAAAACCAAAAAAAAAAAATTCATATTTCTCTATTTTATTTCTTTCCAATAAAACCAGGCCCAAGAGGTCGTGGCGGATACTCTCACCCGGGTTTGGTATGGTACTTTTATTTTTATTTTTTATTGTCTTGCCATGATATTTGAGAAAGAGGGGGGGAGAAAAGTATTCTTTGGCATGAAAGACGAACCCTGGGAGGAAGCAAATGGGCTATTAGAAGGAATGGAGGGAAGGAAAGATACATAGGGAAAAGATGAAAGAGAGGTCCAAGAGCCATCCATTTTTTTTTATTTTTTTTTATGTTTTTATTATTAGTAATGAAAATGGAGTGGAAATGAGCTGGGATGCCCTTTCCATTCTGTTCTTCTTTTTTTTTTGTTAAAAAAAAAAAAAAATTCTGTTATTTTTTTTTTTTTTTATTCTTAACAAAAAAACTCACACAATATTTTAGAATAAACTTAAATTCTATACCTTTCACTATAAAAAGTGAAAATTAATCACACCCACAAGCATTGATACAATATATTAGAACAAATTGAGTGGTATTTCATCGATATTTACGGCGTCGTGATAATGTATTTCTTTTTAATATTATTTGATATATTATCATTGTACACTACAAGCAAATGTCACATGAAAGTACAATAAATATGACATCACAATCTGCATGGACCGAAAATTTTAACTCTTTTATACAATAGTATGAACCCTTCCGAATTTCTCCAAAGCACTATAAAGTTGTCTAAAATTGTATAAATGTATATAGATCATTATATATATATATATCTATATTATTATTAAATGTGTAAAGTGTTTTAGTATTTCAGTATTTATATATTAATATAAAAAAATATTTATTAATTGATATAAAATTCTAAAAATTACTTAATAAAATTTAAATTTCAGTATTTATTTATTAATATAAAAAAATATTTATTAATTGATATAAAACTTTAAAAATTACTTAATAAAATTCAAATTATTAAATGTGCTAAGTGTTTCAGTATCTCAGTATTTATTTATTAATATAAAAAAATATTTATTAATTGATATAAAACTCAAAAAATTACTTAATAAAATTCAAATTACCTAATAAAATTCAAATTACAAATTACATAATAAATCTAAGAGTTTCTATAAAATAAAATAAAATCTAATTAGACTAGAATAAATCTACCACAAATTACCTATTTTTATTTTCAACACAAATTACCTATTTATCTATTTATTATGAGTTTTTAATAAAAGAAAATCTAATTATACGAGTATTATTAATATAAAAATTATTTATTAATAGATATAATAAAAGGAAATCTAATTAGAGGAAGGATATTTTTGAAGAAAATAAAATAATATATTTATATAAAACTCTACCACAAATTACCTATTTTATCTTCAATAAAACTCTATCACATCAAAAAAGACAAAACTTTATCACATTAGACAAAGATATATTTAAAGAGTTTCTACAAAACTCTAACATAAATTACCTATTTATCTATTTATTATGAGTTTTTAATAAAAGGAAATCTAATTATACGAGTATTATTAATATAAAAAATTATTTATTAATAGATACAATAAAAGGAAATCTAATTAGAGGAAGGATATATTTGAAAAAAATAAAATAATTTAAAGAAATCTCTACTACAAATTACTTATTTTATTTTCAATAAAACTCTATCACATCACAAAAAGATATATTTAAAGAGTTTTATTTTATTTGAAATTCAATCAAGAGGGCACATGTCATCAAGCCTATAAATAGAGGCATAGAGGAAGAAGAAAAGGAGACAAAATTTGAGAATTCTAGAAATCTCCATAAAGTCTCGGTCTTGAGAGACTCAAAAGTGTAGAAATATTAAATCATCTCTGCCTTGAAGATGTAATTTCGGAAGAACTCTATGTTATTCTTAATGAAAGTCATTCTGATCAAGCTTGTCTTGTCAAAACAAGCATGCTTCACCTTGTCAAAACAAGCATGCTTCACCTCTGAAATCCTAATTCTCAGAAATTGTTCGAACTAAATATTGTCATTCTAAGATTCTTTTCTAAGATTCTTTTAGATGTACTCCCACTTTATCAGGCAATTGGACCTTGAATTGTGTATGGTTGTGATTTGTGAAAACACTTGTTGGGAGACTATTAATTGCAACTTCAGACTTGATACTGGAAGGAGAATTTGGAAGGTTTTGATTTCTTAGATCCGAGGCTCATGTCCCTGAATTGTGTATGGTTGTGATTTGTGCTTTTGGAAAAACACTTGTTGGGAGACTATTAATTGCAACTTCAGACTTAGCGGTTGCGTAAAACCAATGCTACTGAAAGGAGAATTTGGAAGGTTTTGATTGATACCTTTTCTTAAACAAAGAAAAATTGTATACTATTAAATACTTTTGTTCTATAAAGAGTTTTTATAAAAAGAGTTTTATAACATTTATTAATTAATATGAAAATAGTTTTTATAAAAAGAGTTATTTATGAATTAATATAAA